GCCTCACTATTTTGTTCTTCTTTTGAAAATTGCTTAGCTATAATAAAATTTTAATCAATTTTTAAATATAATTCAAGCTGGAAGTGATTTCACCAAAATAATTTGGCCAAAAAAACCATCTCAGTGGGTAAAAATAGGTTTGTCAAAATTGTGTTAACATTTGATATATTAATTTAGGAGTTTATTTTAAACAAACAAATGTTTATATTTATTGAGATTGAACATTCAAAAAAAGCTCTCATTTATTAGTGCAAAATATTTGAAGAAAAGCGCTGAAATAATTAAATTAATATATATAGTCACGACCGTCTGTCGTGGCCTCTGTCACGGATAATATACAGTTATCATCGTCATGCGTTCTTAATTCTGTCACCGTTTGCTTTTGGTTCAGTGGTAGAATGCTCGCCTGCCACGCGGGCGCCCCGGGTTCGATTCCCGGCCGATGCATTTTTTTTTTTTTACAATTTTTAAAACTCATTTATATATTATACAAGAATGACATCCACGGCGCCAATTTATAATTGTAACAAATAGTATTTGAATAAAAGCATTTAATCGGGTAAACCCCGGGCGTTGCCCGGGTTATTCGGCTAGTATATAATAAATATCAAAGAATAATTGATTATTAATCAATTTTTCAAAAAAATAAAATTTAACTATCCTGATTTGTTTTTCTTATTTATCACATGAATATCCCATATATATTACTACACTTAGCTCCGAGTATTAAAACCGCTCTAGGAATCCAGGTTACCTCAAGAGAGACAGAGTAAATATACATTTTGTAGCGCTATAAAATGATAGGGAAAAATATATTTCTTCTGCAATCTGCAATTGAAAATAATGATCCAAAAAGGCTTGAAGAACTTATTGAATCAGGCATTGATATCGATTGTGAAGACGATTGGGGAATGGCTCCATTACATATTGCAGTTGAGTTTGGTAGGACTGAAATGTTAATGAATCTGATAAGAAAAATGCTGATATTGATATTCAAATATTCTTTTGGAAAAACCCCATTACATTTTGCTGTATTAAGACCAAATGACGAGTCTTATTTGCATCTAATTCAAGCAGGAGCATCGCTTAATATCAAGGATCATAATGGTGACACCCCATTACATCTTCCAATAAAAAATAAGTACTTAGAAATTTCAAGAGAATTAATCAAAAATGGAGCTGACATTCATGCTTACAATTTTAAAAAATATATCAATTTTAATAACTGCTTTTACGTCCTTTAAAAACTTAGATTTAATTAGAAATATATTGGAATTGGTTGTTGAGGTTGATTTTAAAGATATTCGTGGAAAAACTGCTTTGCACCATGCATCTGCGAACATGATGAATCCAAAAAGAGGAAAACTGATGAAACTTTTAATAGAATTCGGTGCTGATGTCAACTCAAGAAGTGGTAAAGGAATCTCTCCATTGATGAATATTGCTAAAATTGGAAATATATTTGACGCTCAAATGTTGATAAGAGCAGGTGCAAGTATTAATGCTGGAGGTAATTTGCATGGGAATGCGTTACGTCATGCAATTTCAGGAAATAATATTGAAATGACAAGGTTACTGATAAATTTAGGCGCAAATGTAAACTGTGTAGATATGTTTGGTATGACCCCTTTTCATTCAGCTGCTAAGTATTTAAATATCAATATCCTAAAGATATTAGTTGAGTTGAAAGCTGACATCTACTTGAAAGAAAATAGAGGATTATTTCCTTTGGCATATTGTTGTATCATGATAAATGCGCGTATTTTAAAAATTATTTATAATATTATTTTTAATATATTTAAAATTTAAATTATACATTTATTTATTTTTATAAAACAGATTATTACTATAAAATATTATCCATATATATAAAATTGAATGTCTGTCTGTCTGTTTGTTTGTACTCTATAGATTCAAAAACCATACATCCAATCGCCGTGAAATTTTGGGATATTATTAGATATATCCCTGGGAAGGTTTTTGAAAAATAATTTCTTGAATATCTTTAGAGTTATTTGCAGATTTGTAGATTTAACTAAATGATGATGATTATTTATCAAAAGTAAATGATTTTGTTTACAAACAATATATGTGAATTCAATATGGTGGTCAATAGTCAAATAATCTGTTTGTTTTTTTAATTAAATAATAGAATTTTTTTAATTATATAAAAATTAATTTAGTGAACAAAATATTTATTTTTTGAAAATTTATATTTTATTAGTAGTATAAAAATTTAAATCTATATATATAAAATTGAATGTCTGTCTGTCTGTTTGTCTGTACTCTATAGATTCAAAAACCATACATCCAATCGCCGGGAAATTTTGGGATATTATTAGGTATATCACCGGGAAGGTTTTTGAAAAATAATTTCCTGAATATCTTGAATATCCTTAGAGTTATTTACAGATTTGTAGATTTAACTCGCAAGCAGCGCCCCCATTGTGACGATGATAACAAGTTTTCTTATCACTAAGTTTGTTATCTTAAATATTATTTATCAAAAGTAAGATTATCTCAGGATGACACGGCAATGTGACACGGGAAAAAATGTTCACTAGATAAAACTATGATTTTCTAATGTAGAAAATTAGGAAAGACAAAATTCAGGATAACACGGCACACAGGGACCGAGAAAAAATGTTCACTTTATCGAGAGATTCAAATTTACGAGTTTCAAATTATCAAAATATATCTTTTTTTTTTAATAAGTTTTTAGAGAATTGTTTTAACAAATGTTCGCTAGACAAACCTTTACTCGGGTAAAACCCCGGGCGAAGCCGAGTACGTTTTATAAGTTTATAGAGAATTGTTTTAACAAATGTTCGTTAGACAAACATTCACTCGGGTAAAACCCGGGCGAAGCCGGGCACATCCGCTAGTCTATATATATATATATATATATATAGACTTAGAGTTATTTGCAGATTTGTAGATTTAACTCGCAAGCAGCGCCCCCATTGCGACGGAGATAACAAGTTTTATAATCTATAAGTTTGATTACCAACAAGTTTTTATCTATAAGTTTTATTATTACTAAGTTTATTATCTTAAAGATTATTTACCAAAAGTAAGATTTTCTACCTATTAATTGCGCACAAGTCAAAGTTAGTTATCGAGTATTTTTTAAGGGACCAGGAAAACATGTTCACTAGATAAAACGATGATTTTGTAATGTAGAAAATTAGGAAAGACAAAATTCAGGATGACACGGCAATTTATTTGAGACAAGATGAGACAAGGGACCGGGAAAAAATGTTCACTTTATCGAGAGATTCAAATTTACGTGTTTCAAATTATCAAAATACTAGACGAATGGCCCGGGCAATGCCCAGGTTTTACCCGAGTGCGTATATATTTTAAAAACGTTTTAATTCAAATACTATTCGTTACAATTATAAATTGGCGCCATGGATGTCACTCTTGTGAAACGTCCCGTTCCAAACTGTGTGTTTTTAAAATGTTTTAATTAAAATACTATTCGTTACAATTATAAATTGGCGCCGTGGATGTCTCTCTTGTGAAACGTCCCGCCCCAAACTGTGTGTGTCTTGAAAATATAAAAATAAAAATGTGAATTTTCATAAAGATTTCATCATGTCGATTTTTTTTTTTTTGCATTTCACCTACTAAATCGATAGAGATAATTACATTTGCAACATGAACTTAGGTATATTGACTAAATAGAAAACTTCATAGTAATAAAGATAATTTTTTAAAGGGACCATATCGTTTTTTTTTTCAATAAAATCGAAACAAAAATTGCCTTATAAAAAAGAAACATTCGCGGTGATTTTGTCTTGCATTCGTTTATACAATTATTATATATACTAGCGGATGTGTACCCGGCTTCGCCCGGGTTTTATCCGAGTGGAAGTTTGCCTAACGAATATTATATATTATGAAGTATAATAAACAATTCTAAAGATTAGTTTTAATTATTAATCAAGATTGTGTGTGAATATGTGAGAAAGATGTAATATCGTTGTTGTTTTCTTGGCCGACTGTTTTACATATGGTGTTATCTTAAAATTGCTTGTTTTGAATATTTTTTTAGATTGAGTTGAATGAATTGCTGATTTTTTTTTTTTTGTATTTATATATAAATAAAATTAACTCTGTTGAATTTTTTTGTATTTTATCGATAACAGCAAAGTTAGGAAAAATATTTTGATGTTAAGCAAAACCTGCTCCATCTCGTTTTACATAAATGTTGAAAATTTGGTCGAAATTGATGCATTGTAACGAAAGTTTTTAGCGAACACCACTTATGAAATTTCCATTTATATAGAAGATATAATATAAATGAGTTTTAAAAATTGTTTTAAAAAAAAATGCATCGGCCGGGAATCGAACCCTGGCCGCCCGCGTGGCAGGCGAGCATTCTACCACTGAACCACCGATGCTTTAAAAAAATCAAATTCATTTATCGTCGCGACCAGTGCTGCGCCCTAGCGGTAAAAGACTGGAACTAACGCTTTTTGGTTTTTTATTTTAAAAAAAAAGCGCATTAACTTTTTTAGTTTTTTGAATAGCCTATATGTTAAACGAAATCTTCAGCTACCTACATGCGAAATTTCATAATGATTGAGTCAGTAGATTTTGCGTGATGCGATAACAAACATCGATTTCGCATTTCATTTTTATATATATAAGGAAGGATTGGCATCATATATTAACTTTATGAACGGAAAAATATGTCCAGGGTAGCCTAGTGGTCATGGCATCTGCCCAGTAAGCGGAAGGTCGTGGGTTCGATTCCCATCCCTTGACACTTTTTTTATTTTATCCATTCTGACCAAAATCTATCCGTGAACTACACACAGTGAACTTCACACAGACAGAATAAGGCAATTATATAAGTAGATGATGATGATTATGTTAGCATAATGAATTAGTCAGTATTCCCATGGTCTCCAGCGAAGAGGTGTGAATTGACTTTTTAAAAGTATACATAATTATAAAGATAGAAGCTTCTATAGAAATGAATAAAATAAGCCGAAATAGCTCAGTTGGGAGAGCGTTAGACTGAAGATCTAAAGGTCCCTGGTTCGATTCCGGGTTTCGGCATCTTTTTTTAATATTTTAATTTTTTAAAACGATGACAGAATTGATGACTCTGACCAAAATCTATCCGTGAACTTCAGACAGTGAACTTCACACAGACAGAATAAGGCAATTATATAAGTAGATAATAATAATAATTATTATCATTAGATAATGATAATGATCATAATGATGATGCGCGCGTTGATGACCAAAATCTATCCGTGAACTTCAGACAGTGAACTTCACACAGACAGAATAAGGCAATTATATAAGTAGATATCTATTATTTTTTAAAATAAGTTTATAGAGAAGTGTTTTAACAAATGTTCGTTAGACAAACCATTACTCGGGTAAAACCCGGGCGAAGCCGGGTACATCCGCTAGTCTATAAATATAAAAATGAATGTATGTGTGTGTGTGTGTGTCTGTTTGTCCTTTATGCCTGACCAAACCACTCATTGGAACGCCATGAAACTTTGGGAAGTTATTTAGTATAGTACTGGGAAGGTTTCTAGCAAATAAAATTTTTGAAATAACTTTTCGCTTTAAAATAATCAAGATAAATATTCTAATTTATCTGTTATAATTCAACAATCTGCTCTAAATATTATCATGATGATACGATGATTTTGTAACGTAGAAAATTAGGAAAGACAAAATTCAGGATGACACGGCAATTTATTTGAGACAAGAATAATGATACAATTCCAAGGCAAGATACTATTCCTTTAACTTCCAATTACCGAGGGAACCAATTAATATTGATTTTATTCAACTTATCGAGTATTTTTCAAGGGACCGGGAAAAAATGTTCACTTTATTGAGAGATTCGTTAGACAAACCTTTACTCGGGTAAAACCCGGGCGAAGCCGGGTACGTCCATACAAGAATAATGATACAATTCCAAGGCAAGATACTATTCCTTTAACTTCCAATTACCGAGGGAACCAATTAATATTGATTTTATTCAACTTATCGAGTATTTTTCAAGGGACCGGGGAAAAAATGTTCACTTTATCGAGAGATTCGTTAGACAAACCTTTACTCGGGTAAAACCCGGGCGAAGGCGGGTACGTCCGCTAGTGTACTATAAAACATTTGTATTTTGATACACTAAATACCCCACCTGCTTTAAACTTTGATGTGATAAATAAAGAGACATTCTAGGTGCTACCTAAATATATAGTTGTCTTATTATTGACTAGTCTAACCTTGTAGAATGGTTGAGACACGTTCTGGAAAGATGCAAGACACATCTGAGGAGAGAAACAAGACTGAAGAATTTGCCAAACCGCAGCCCAGTGCAACAATTGGTAGAGATGCAAGTGCCGACCCAGTTGTCTTGAACCCCAACATAGACATCCCCAAATATGATGGAACAGAAGACCCTCGCCCATGGATTGAGTCCCTTGAAGAAATTGGCTTCCTGTACCACTGGGCAGAATATATTATTTCTTGCTATGCAGCCATGAATATGATTGGTAGCGCCAAAACCTGGTTGGACCTACACAAGATAAGTTTTACCAGCTGGGAACATTTCAAGAGCCGCCTAATTCAGGATTTTGCCTCAGACGCCAACAAAGAAGAAATGAAGATGAGGCTAAACAGAATGCAGCAGTGGAATGAACCTGCAATCAGGTTTGCAGAGGATATCCTGGTTCTGTGCAACATGTTCGACCCCCAAATGGAAGAAGAGAATAAAATAAACTGGGTTATTGGAGGGTTAAAGAAAGAATACTCTTTTGCCCTCTACTTAAACCCTCCTAAGAATACCAACGAACTCCTAAGATTGTGTAAAAAGATGGATTTGTTTGAAAATTATATCAAGAACGTGTAGAAAAGTCAAAGGCTCTATATAATGGACCACGCTCTCCTCGTTTCCATCATCAAGAGCAATGGAAGAACGTTCCATCGTTCAGAAGACCAGAACACCTCCAAGCCCCAGGCCCCCGCTCCGAGGTACTACCAGAACACCCCCAAGCCCCAAGCCCCCGCTCCGAGGTACTACCAGAACAAGCCGCTGCCCCAGGTATCTGCCCCTAGACGATTTTACACTCCCATTCCTGAGCCAAAACCGGTCTACCCAAGGAAAACATACAATAAGAGTCCAGATTCAAACAGAAATAGGACAGAAGACGGGAGGCCAATATGTTTCAAGTGTAACAAGCCAGGACACGAAGCGCGGTATTGCAGAGTCAAGTTTGTGAGGATCGTAGAAGAGGACCCCTCAATTTCCCAAGACAAGAGCCAAGAAAATCTTCAAATGGACGAAAGGAAAGATTATACACGGCCTCGCCTCTATGCGGATGTTTGTAATGACACACAAACAAATATTCCTACACGGAATAGATATTCCGTGTTGGAAGATTTAAACTAAGTGTCGCGCCTGATTCCTTCAATCAAAGCAAGTCGACCATAAATGGAATTAGAAAGTTGGACCCTAGGTACAAAATTAATATTAATGTGGACAAGATAGGGTTATGCGAAGCTGTGATTGATACAGGCGCCGATCTTTCAGTGGTCGACCTAAGAACAGCACTTTTTGCTGGCCGTGAAATAAATAGTCTCACTAAAACGTGTTCAGGACCCGATGGGAAAAAATTAAATATGGTAGGTAGCATTATTTTAGATTTAAAAATTGATGACACTGAATTATCCCACGAATTTGTAGTAATGGACGCGCATCTACGAACTCTTATTCTTGGACGAGATTTCCTTAAAAAATGAATGCTAAAATTGATTGTAAACGAGAAACAATAAAATATAATTTGATGAGTAATCATGACGTAAGCAATTATGATCTAAAAAAAATAAAGAGCACTACAGATACCGTTATACCTAAACTATCTATTAAATTGATTAGGGCCTCAATAGAAGCAGAGGATAGCGAATATGTCATCGAAGAGAACAACAGAATGACTCAAACAAATGGTCTTCGATTGGCAAGAAGTTTGCTTACTGTCACGGATAAGAAAACCCATATCTGTTTAACGAACCCTTATCCTCGACCTTTAAAAATCATGAAAGACAAAACATTGGCTTATGGAAGTCTTCCTGCAGGGGTAAATTTTATAGAGAATAAAGAGAAGCAAAATGAAAATGACGAAATACAATTTCAAATAAACAAAAATTTATCATTTAAATAACAAGAGAGGTTAAAACAAATTTTGGCCAAGTATACTGATTTGTTCTCATCGAGGTTAGGCAGGACCAATTTGGCAAAACATCAGATTCATACAGAAGATGCAAAACCGATAAAGCACAAGCCTTACCGGGTAAGCGCTAAGGAACGAACCATCATAAAGGATCAAATAGACTAGATGCTTGAAGAAGGAATAATTAGACAATCTTCAAGTCCCTGGTCCTTTCCCGTTATATTGGTCAAAAAACGAGATGGCAAATACAGATTTTGTGTGGACTACAGGAAATTAAATGAAGTAACAGTGAAGGATGTTTATCCAATCCCAAGAATTGATGATGTAATGGATACTCTCCAAGGATCCAAGTACTTCTCAGCAATAGATCTCAAATCGGAATATTGGCAAGTCGAAATTGAAGAGAGAGACAAAGAGAAGACGGCTTTCACTACGGCACATGGGTTATATGAATTCAACGTAATGCCCTTCGGTCTATGCAACGCCCCTGCTACTTTTGAGAGGAACATGGACAATGTCCTCGGAAATCTGAGATGGCAGATTTGCCTTTGCTACCTGGACGATGTGATTATATACAGCTCGGACTTTCCAACCCACATTAAAAGACTTGAAGCTGTTCTCAGATGCTTCAGCGAATCTAATTTAAAACTGAACGCCAAGAAATGCAGATTTGCTTTCGAGGAACTTGAGATCCTTGGACATATAACCAACCAAGACGGTATAAAACCTGCCGAATATAATATCAAAGCCGTTAGAGATTTTCCTCAGCCCAAGAAGGCCAAAGAAGTGCAATCATTCCTAGGAATGTGTTCATATTATAGAAAATTTATTAAAGATTTCTCATTAATCGCTGACCCATTGACCAGTCTGATCAGAGAAAATGTGCAATTTATCTGGACAGGAAAACAGGAAGAAGCGTTCCAAAACCTTAAAAAAAGCTCTTATAAATCCGCCAATTTTAGGTCACTTTGATCCAAATGCAGCCACCTGCATTCACACAGATGCCTCTAACATCGGCTTAGGCGCAACACTAATTCAAAATATCGGTGGCGAAGAGAAGTTAATATCATATTTGAGCCGAACCCTAAGTAAACCTGAGCAAAATTATTCAACCACCGAAAAGGAATGTTTAGCTGTAGTGTGGTCGATATCAAAATTACGCCCTATTTATATGGAAGGCACTTTAAAATCGTCACTGATCATCACGCACTATGCTGGCTTAAGAATTTAAAAGATCCGACCGGTCGATTAGCACGATGGGCACTGAAGATTCAGGAATATAATTTCGAAATTATACACAAATCGGGAAAATAACATCTGGACGCTGATGGTCTATCTAGAGGACCCTTACCAGAAAACGAATGGGACGAGGATTATGAAAAACTATTTCTGAATCAAATAATAGACGAAAAGGATGATTTTATTGAAAATATTAAGGAGAACCTTAGTGGAAACAAGCGTTCAATTACACAGAACTTTAAAGAAGAAAATGGGTGTCTCTACAAGAAAAGTCCAAATCCTGAAGGTAGAAAATGATTGCTGGTAGTGCCAAAGAAGAGAAGGAAAGAAATCATGAGTGAATACCACAACCATATGCTGAATGGCCATCTGGGCGTCGCCAGAACCACATACCGATTGAAGAATAAATACTATTGGCCTTCCATGCTGAAAGATGTTTCCGAATTTGTAAAGACGTGCCATCTTTGCCAAAGTCGGAAAGGTTCAAATCAGTTGCCATCTGGACTTTTACAACCTATTCCCCCAGCTAACTACCCTTTTGAAAGAATCGGAATTGACTTTGTTGGCCCCTTGCCATCAACGAAAAGAAGAAGGAAATGGATAATTGTGTTGACGGATTATTATACC